CAGTCTTTTGTCCTCTCATCTTCTCTGGTAGATACCCTCCAGATACAAAAGCATTAACACGAACACCACCTTGCCAATCGGTTACTTTGCCTCCTCTCAGTGGATAATTATTAGCACCTCCTCCAGGATAAACAGGACCACCATTATCACTGCTAGTGACAAAGAGAAGATTGTCCCACATTCCTTTATTCTTGAGAGCATCAGTGATTTCACCCACAACATCATCAAGATAGTTAACCATTGCATGATAATACTGTCTATCGTGATCATTGATGAAACTAAACAATTTCAAATATCTATCAGGTACTTGCAAAGGTGTATGCACAATATGTGGAGCATAATACAGGAATAGAGGTGTACTAGGATCATGGTTGCTTACAACATCAAGAACTCTCTCCTTAAACAATCCTTCTTCATAATTATCAGGTCCAGTACCATTGATACCATGAGCAGGTTTATCTGTTTCCCATAGATCAACTATTTGAGTTCTATTGCAAGCTGAAGCTGTTTCCTTATAATAATCGTTAGCATGATGAAAATAACCAAACGAAGTCTGAAATCCTCGTCCTTTTGGTGTGTGGTCTGATGTTGCCATTCCAGCATCCCATTTGCCTACTTGATGTGTAGCATAACCAGCTCCTCTCATCTTCTCTGCAATACCAGTCATGTTACGTGGAATAGCTGAGAAACCAGAGACTGGATCATCAGGATTGTAATTAGTTGGAAGCAGGTTTTGGTCATTAACATGAATTGGTAATCTTCCACTGATTAAAGATGAGCGAGAAGGAGAGCAGAACTTGTAGACATAGTGCTGATTAAGTTCTAGGCCTTCCTTAACTAGCTTATCGATATTTGGTGTAACAACTTCACATGTTGGTGGATTCCGATGATATCCAACATTAGCCCAGCCCCAGTCATCAACAAGCATCATGACAATATGAGGTAGATTAGCATTAGGTGAAGCACCTGATGCTAGTCCCAATAGGAACACTCCAACAGCTAAAACTGCAAGCATCTTTATTAGAGACAAGGAGACACACCCAAACTTATATTACTAGTATTCATGTCATGAATTATCTCATTCCTCAACTGCATGAACTAATTAAAGTGCTTACATGTACATATGAATAGACGTAAAAGTTATACAGTTTGGGACTGACAGATATACTCTACAATATTAAAACTAGAATGTACTTTATACTTACCAATTATGTTTGCTAGAGCATACAGGCTCCAGTGGTGGCAAAGTATATTCATGATACAGCAAATCTTTTGGGTAAAACTAGCCCACGTTGTTTCACGTGTTTCATGTTTGTGCATGCTTGCTTTTCTCTGGATCCTACAGTCAATCATGGCTGACAGTCCCTCTGACAGTCCTGGACTTACAGACAAGGAAAAGGAGGCTTTTCCTGGGAGGGTTGGTGGAGGGAAATCAAATGAGCGTCTCAATAAACAGTGCAGGGACAGAATGCATAAATCTCTGAAAAGTAAGCCCTAAAATTTAATATTATTAAAGCCTTTAAAGGGGCAGCCAAAATTCTTGATAAATAATTTACACATGTAAACTTGCTTGTTCATAAATTAATATACATGTACATGTAGGTTCATATGTGCGTTACATGCTTAATGCAATGAAGGAAATTGGCTGGTAAGTATTTCTGTTATTAATGTCAGTACTAGCTATGATGTCTTTATATAATAGTGAAGTAAAGGTTGGACGTCATTTAGTCTGTGAGCCATGTGGTGATAGATTGTTAGGTGGATTTGACGAAGACAGAAATCAAGTAAATATATATTATTATTTATGTAAATACATTATTCATAGCTTATGCCTTAACTTTTTAGTGCTATTTCTATTTTTTGATTCAATTGCTATTCTCTTATCATTTGTAGATAGTCCTGTGTGAGAACAATATATATTCAGATGATTGTATGACTAATGTATTGACACACGAGCTGATACATGCCTATGATCATTGCAGGGCTCATGTGGATTGGAAAAACTTAGATCATCAAGCTTGTTCGGAGGTGAAGTGTAACTCAAAATCCTTTAATTAGAATGAGCTCAAATACTTAAAAATAGTATATCAATATCTATCAGAAGTTATACAGACTTATTTTTGAAAAAATACTATAGTCCATGGTCTTTTGTCAAAAGGTTGATTTTAATTTGAATTTGTTCAAAGAGCATGTATAATGCAAAATAATTTTTTTGGTACTTGCTCATTTAAAACTACCTTGTACCTAATTTTAAAAAGTAGCAATTAAAAAAAGCAAAGACTTATAGCCCATAATTTTCTCAAAAATGGCTCCAAAATCACTCCAAATTTTTGTTACATTTTCTGATACATATTGATGTCCTTACACTGTGTAGAAAGTTTGAGCTGATTCCGACTTCAATTTTTCAAGTTACGGCCATTTTAAGAAAACTCCAAAATTCTGAAAAGTACCCAAGGCTATATATAGTCCATGGTATTTTCCAAAAAAATGCTTCGAAATCACCCCAAATTTTTTTTACATTCTCTGATACATATTGATGCCCTTATGCTGTGTAGAAAGTTTGAGTTGATTCTCATGAAAAATTTTGGAGTTATGGCCATTTTAAAATAGCCCAGAGATTGACATGACTATGATAATGATTTTTGCTGCTGTAGATACGTGCTGCCAACCTTAGTGGTGAATGCTTCTTTTGGAAGGAAAACTTTGCTCGTTTAAAGTTTGGCTGGAAGAAGCATCAACAGGTAAAAATTGTGTCTAATGTAAGGTTTAGCCTGGGCCATTTTTTTTTGCCTTCTACCGTAGATTGGGAGATTTTCATGTTACAATAATAATTGGTGTATAAGATTTTGTCATTATTTCATTTTGCTGTTTTGTATTTTCAAAATATTTTGTTATAAGTTATGAAAATATTTCACATGTTAAAATTTCATTGCTACTAATCAAAGTGAAGTTATTTTAGCAGCAAGAATTTCCCAATCTATAGTATGTGTTTAACTCTTACTTTTAAAATGTTAAATAATAATATTAAGTATGTTTACATTTTATTGTAGAAATGTGTGAAGGAGAGAGCCACCCAGTCCATACTGTGTGTCAACAATGTGACTGAAAAGGAAGCAAGGGATGCTGTAGAGAAAGTCTTTGATTCTTGTTTCAAGGACACTGTTCCTTTTGAAAGAGTACCACCATAGGGACATAATACTAACTGGAGTGAACAGTGTATCTATGAACTATTATAATTCTTTATTTATTTACTACTTTTGAATAATGTGGATAGTTTATAGCAGTGAAATGAAAAAGCTGAGCTGTTTCCTGTAATAGCAATACTATCATAATTTACACCCCTGATTTCAGTAGTAACCTTTGTGAGATGAGGTGTGATTGACCCACAGTGGACAATGGCGGACCCTCTAGGTATACAAGTATAATATTTGCTTACTGTATTGTAGGTTTTGCTTTAGTAGTAAGTCAACCAGAAGAAGAAAGTATTCAGAAACATGAATCAGACCCAACATGTATATTTAGAAATTAATTTTTACCAATTTACTATTTATTTAGATTCTGAACCTATAGATGAGTCTAGAAATCATGATCCAGGAAATACTCAATTAGCAACAGGTAGACAAGTAAACTATATATATATTTTTATGCACAGTTTTTTAATCAGATTACATCATTATGAGGTTAATAAATCCCTACTAGATCTACTTGGTAAAAAATAAACCCAAATCTTGGTTGTCAGCCTAATGTACTTAAACAACTAGTTATACACATTAGCTTTATTCTTTTATAGGCAGGCAGCCACAGCAACCTGAAATAAGTGAACCACCCAGTGAGCGAGCTAGTGCTAGAGAACCATCATTATGTAAAGTCCTTATATAAAAGTTTTACTTCTACATTAAAACAGGTTCTCCTGGGCATCATAATAACAATTCTCCTGCTAATGAGAACCCTAATTCAACTAGTAAGTAATGCTAGTTACTGTATAGCCTGAAACTTTTGCTGATTTGCCATTTTTGTTGAGACTTGTGAAATTAAAATCTGTGAAAATGGTATTGGCAAAAGTTTCATCCCTTGCATGAAAGTTTCCAGCTATGTGGTATTTTATGTTATTACTGTTCTTGATGTGTTATAGAGAAATCTTGTATCGAGAAAGTTAAGAGTCTCACAGTTACAATAATAATAATAGCCACCGGCATTGTATCGCTCATCGTGGCAGTTGTGGTCATCTGCTTGTTTACAACAGTGCTCAAGCCTCAACTATACAATTTTAATGCCACAATAGGTGATGTTAGTGAGTCTGAATCTACCTTTTTACTGCAGATTAACTCAACTATATCATCAGCAACAGTAACTGCTATTAATCCTGACTTGGAGCTAAAAGCAGATATCTACCAGAGCACTTCTAAGCCACCTGAATACATTGAGGTCTTGGATACTGTGACCATTCATGAACTTAGTGAAAAGAACCGATTTAGATATAACTATTTTACGAATCCCGATAATCCAGTCTATCTCACACCTGGGTCTTCACTTCTCTATGATGTTAGTATTAGCAGTAATTCTGGTTCTACCTGTCCAGCACGTCTCTATCTATTTAATAACCAAACTACCTATTTTTTGTTTATTAGCGATCGAAACTCAAAAATTGATTCAACTGACAGATCTCCTTGTTTATTTCCAGACAATGGAGCTTGGTCCTTTAACATTACTGATTCCTCTGCTTATTATGTGGCCATTGCTATAGATACTGGTGTTAGTGTCTTGGGGAATGTTACAGTAGAGAGAATTCAATACAATACTACTGGACTTCAGCTTGATACACAGCTGACATCAGGAAATCCTTCTCATACGATTACCACTTGTGATACTGGAAGCGGATTTCTATGCACCGGAATTGATGACACATATCTTATATTGTTGATCAATGAAGGAAGCCTTATCAATTTTCAACTGAAGACTTTTTTCGTTTATAATAGACAAAAGGTTGCATTGTCCTGTTTCAGCCTCATTTTGCTATTAGTATTTGTAGTAGTATTTACACTATTCTTGATTGCAATCATTATAAAAGCTGTTGGAATTTATAAAAAACACAATACTACAATTGATGATGCCCACATTTCTTTAATTTCTCCTGCACAACAAACTAATACTGAAACAAGTGGAGAACAAGTGATTGGTGAATAGATCTACTTAAATTTGTGAATTATAATTAATTTGGGTGGAATTTTTAACAATTATAATGTTGATTTATAAATTAGATATGATGACAATGCCTACAGTAATTTTTTTAATCAATAAAAAATAGTATTTAATTATGTGCAAGTGTTTTTGTAAAACATTTACTCAAAAATAGCCTTAAAACCACAATCTCTTATAATCAAAATGAAATCTAATTAAATTTATCGACTCCCAGTTCCTTTAAAAGCAAGTGTTCCATTACTATCCGTCCACAATATCCTACAGGATAAACACCAGTAATATTGTACGTATAGAACCGATTTCTTACCAACAGTCCAAAAAATAAGGAAGTAAGGCTAAATGAAACTGGTCACAATTCTGTGCATAATCAATTTTTGTCACCAGAAACGTTAGTCTTCAGCATTGGCGCATCAGTGAAGTGTTTGTATCATAACCAAAGAACTCACACTCGTCAACTTTATACAGCGTAATAGCATAATTCAGAGACAACTACAGAAATTATAAAAATAAAATAGTTATCATTACTTTATTCTTTTGTTCAAATTGCTCCATGAATTCTGTGTAAGTATTATTTATAGTTATCTATTACTGCTGCAGTTCAATATTTTGTGGGTTTTTAATTGTTGCATAGTAACATGGTTTTGCTTTTTGATATGTTAAAACATGCTGAATCTGATCCATGCAGATCTTATGATGTATAGGAATTTCTAGATCTAGTAATGATTCACTCCGCAATGATAACACCAGTGAGTAAAAGGATGTAACTTATCTCCTATTACAGGAAATAGATCTACTCTATGATCATGTGATTCTATCACATTTCTGAATAATGGCTGCTAAAAATAAAGGTATGAAATAGTTCCATTTTAAATTAAACTTATTGTATCATGATAGCTTCTATTTCAATAGTAGAAGAAGGAAGTGGACCACAAAGTCCTGAGCTATGTACATTGATAGATGCATGCAGTTACAATTTTTAATTCTTTTTTTCTAGATAAACAACCTGAACAAGCTGTAGACTCTGGTGAGAATGCTAATCTATTAGCAGGTAGAGTATCTAGTAATGATACTGAAGTTTCACTAATAATTTGAGATAGGGACTATACAAGGTAGGAGCATAAGTGGAAGTGGTTCTAATGGTTATAATGCTACTAACACTGCTAATGAGAACTCTCCTCCAACTGGTAAGTTAAAGTTATGCTAGTTATTTATGTGTGCTATTCTCAATGTATTATAGAAGAAGAACCATGTACTAAGAAATTCAAGTGTCTCACAGCTACAATCATTGCTCTTCTGGCAGTCATAGTACTGATGTTGGTTGGATACAACAGCTACTTGTGGACAACAGAGCTAAAGTCTCAACACTACAGTCTTAATGCCATAATAGGTGATGCTAGTGAGTCTGAACCTTTCACCTTTCTTCTACAAATTAACTCAACTATATCATCAGCAGCAGTAACAGTAACTGCAATGAAACCAGACCTGGAACTAAAAGCTGATGTATACCAGAGCATTTCTAAGCCGCCTGAATATACTGCTATCTTGCATAAGAACCTTCCCAAACTAACTGGAAAGTCACGATATAATTATAATTATCTTGATGGAGATCAGCCAGTCTATCTCACACCTGGGTCTTCACTTCTCTATGATGTTAGTATCAGCAATAATTCTGGTTCTACCTGTCCAGCACGTCTCTACCTATTCAATAGCCAAACTACGTATGATTCATTTTTTCCTCCAGATGCAACAATAGATCCGATTGACAAATCTCCTTGTTTATTTCCAGACAATGGAACTTGGTCCTTTAACATTACCGATTCCTCTGCTTATTACGTGGCCATTGCTATAGATACTGGTGTTAGTGCTTTGGGGAATGTTACAGTAGAGAGAATTCAATACAATACTACTGGACTTCAGCTTGATAAACAACTGACACCAGCAAATCCTTCTCATGCAATTACCACTTGTGATACTGGAAACGGATTTCTATGCACCACCCAAATTGATGACACATATCTTATAGTGTCAGTCAATAAAGAAAGCCTTGTCGATTTTCAGCTGAAAACATTTCAAGTTTATGGCACACTAAAGATAGCATTGTTCTCTTTGATGCTCTTTCTTGTAGTAGTACTATTGATACTTGTGATAGCAATCTTTGTAATAGCTGCTAGTATGTCTTGTAAAAGCTGCAATGCTAAAGGTAGTAAGAGGTAATAATAGTTAAATTATTAAACACTTATAATTGTGTGTGTGTGTGTACTCAGAGTACTTTTTTAATGATACTGACCACTGTCAAACTTATAAATTATTTTAAAATAATTTTTACATTCAAATAACATCATTTGTTGAAATCAAAGCACTAAAGAGTTGTAAAAAGTTAGTGATAAACAAAAACTAAATTAGGAGAGAGTGTTTTTTTGCAAAAATCTCAACCATTCTTCAATGATTCCCTGTCCCTTGAAAAGCAAATGTTCCATTACTATCTGTCCACAATATCCTATAGGATAAACACCAGTAATATTGTACTTATAGAATCAATTTCATACCAACAGTCTGAGAAAAAAGGAAGTAAGACTAAACGAAACTGGTCACAATTCTGTGCATAACCAGTTTTGTCGCCAGAAATGTTAACCTTTAACATCGGCATCAGTGAAGTGTTTGGATTGTAACCAAAGAACTTACACTCATCAACTTTATGAAGTGTGATAGCATAATTAAAAGACAGCTACAGAAATTGTAAAAATAACACCAAATAAATTATCTAATAAATTTACTTTATTTTCTTGTTGAAACTGCTTCATAAATTCTGTCAATGCTTTTTCTGTACCATCAGAGTATGTTATATCAACTTGCACACATTGATATGAATCCTCGAGTGTGCTGTCTTTTTCAAGCCTCCAGCCTTTGGGGCACTTGTCCTCAAGCTTTAACACTTTGTGTAATATCTCATGAGGACCAGAAATCCTAAAGTGTCCCTCAGAGTGATGCCTTGTTGAGAGTCTCTTCAATTCACTTCCACTGATACCAAACTGAGAAGAGAGGACCTGTCTCACATCACTCACTTTAGCAGCACCAGTCCTTGTGTAGACATTCATGATTGTAGAGACTATAAGGTGGGTGCTAAGATTCTTATCTTCAGGAAGTGAAATTGTACACTAGCTTACTATAAGTAAACTGATATTGAAATGCATTGGCCCTAGCTAGTTTGCTGAACATGCCATCACATTTGTTTAATCTCTACTATAAAGATGCAGCTATTGTTAAATTTTTTCTCATGCATATAGATCTACATATAGATAGTCTACTTGTGTTGTGTAGAAAGTTTGAGCTGATTCTAATCAAATTGGGATTTTTACGAGTTTTTAACACTCTTTCCTGAGATTGTTGTTATGCTTAAACAAAACAGCAGACTACTTTTCTGTGCATGCGCAACTAGCTATACTTGTGAAGTTTTCCATAATGGTTTTAGCTGTTTGTAAACAAGTGATCTCATAGTTATTGATTAGCATCAGCATATTGACCCAACTTAAGAGCATTTTTACTTTCAGTACAATTCTAACCCCAAAGTTTTAAATCTACTAAAGAAAAAGATGCTACTTTTCCGATTTTTCCTTCTTTTACTATTAACCTTGATTGGATGGTCTTATGCTGCAGATGAACAATCAAGCAAGTATTACAATCAAATTGTTGTGGTATCCAACTGCAACAAATCCTGCCAGAGTCACTACAGTGAGTATGAAAAAGTGACCCATTTCTACTCTTTGAGAGATGCTCTTACTTGTAAACCTATTACAAGCCATACTCTGATCCTCATTAAGAAAACCTTCAATGTTTTGACAGATGAGGTAATAAAGCTGACTAATTTGATGCACATTAAAATAGAAGGGCAAGGTTCTAGGAATGTAATAGTATGTTGCAATCATTTATCATCTGGACTTGTTTTTGACTCTGTTTTCCAACTCAGACTGTATAATCTCAAGTTCATTGGATGTGGCTTTTTGAGGAAAGAAATTATGCTAACACCAGTTGCTATCATGATTCATAATTGTACAAATGTTATCATACGGGATGTGGAAATCACCAAGAGTATAAGTTTAGGCTTATTGCTTTCAAATGTAACAGGATACATAGAAGTTAAGGACTCAAAGTTCACTTACAATGGACAAGGAAATAAAGCTGGAGCTAGCCTACAGGGTATAAAGATATATATAAAAGGTGGGGGCATGGCAATATCATCCAATGGTTCTCTATATCGCTCATACTATAACATATCTAGTTGTCGTTTTGTGAATAACATGAAATTATACACGGGAAAACCAAGCAACAATTATGGGAAAGCCCATGGGGGAGGATTGCTTGTGTACATTACGCATGCAAGAAGAAGGCAAGCATTGCATATACACGATTGCATCTTTGAAGGAAATGAAGCAGGAAGTGGTGGAGGTGCAGCAATAAAGTTGATGTATAATGAGTATAATTATATTGAAATGAATGGTCTAATTTTCCGGCAAAACAAAGCCACAAATTCTACAATTTCAAATGGAGGCGGTTTAGAAATTTATTCGACCACCAGCACAAGTAACAAAAGCATAAGTAGATCTATCATAGTGCTAAATTGCAGTACTTTTGAGTCAAATACAGCAAATTTTGGTGGTGGTCTAAGCATTGACTGCGGCAGCAGTGCCTCCATACATGAATTTAACATAAGCAATTGCAGTTGGACAAAAAATAGTGCTAGATCTGGTTTTGCAGTTGACGTTAGCCGTCACTTCACTATTGCTTTAAACTTAAATGAGCGAGTGATACAGCCGGTTTTTGCAAATTGTTCCTTCAATGAGAATCACGTCTTTTCTCTTTCTCAGCATTCTTTTAAAGCTGGGTTTGGAGCAGTCTCCGTGCTGGAAGTTAAAGTCGAGTTTCATTCTTACTTACATTTTGAGGGAAATATTGGTTCAGCTTTGAGTGCTGTAATGTCTACTGTTACTTTCAGAAATTGCAACGCTTTATTTTTGAATAACAACAGCACATTTGGTGGAGCAATTTCACTCAATTTTGCTAGCCTATTGTTATCCTCACCAACAAGCATAACATTCAAAGGAAACAATGCTAGTGAATATGGTGGAGCTATTTATTCATTTATTACAAACGGTCACATGCTTTATTCTAGAGAATTGTGCCCGTTTTTGTTTTCTTGCAAAAATGGATTTCACATTCCAGAACGTTGCCAGGATGTGCATGTCAAATTTATAAACAACAATGCTACACGAGGCAGCTCTATTTATCTGCCCTCACTGTTTCCTTGCGTATTAGAATACTCAGCAGATGTTAGTAACTTAATAGAGCCTGACGACATTTTTCAACATGATAACTTTTACTTTACTGGCAAATTGAGCACTGAAGTTGCTACTGCAGTTGCAAAACAAGATCCTTATGAAAGTAACATGACAGTGTATTCAGGCGAGGAATCAAATTTAAATCTGACGCTAAAGGATGAGTCAAGTAACTTAGTTCCTCTGAAATCTGTAATTTTTGAGGCAATAATAGAAGAAAAGAGCAATGCGAGTGTGACTCTGAAAAATACATACATTAATAATGGTGCTTTCACAATCTTTGGACCTGAAAACTCAAACGCTACTGTCGTATTTCAAACCATGTTCAAGCCTCTACTACACATCATTAGAAACATACACATTGACTACTGCCCTCCTGGTTTTAAGTATAATAAAATTAAAAATTCCTGTGTGTGCAGTTGGTCTTCCTTTTATGGAATAATAAGCTGCAACTCAACATCTGAGAGTTTCAGAGCCACCATTGTGAAAGGAATTTGGTGTGGATACCTTGACCAATCCTCAACAAACAGGAGGGTGTTTGTATCCAGCCCTTGTAGCTTTTTTTGTCGTAGCTATATTGGCAGAAATTATGTACAAATTCCTTCTAAACTTCATCAACATCAAGACTTCCAATGCCAGCATAACAGGGCAGGAGTGTTGTGTGGAAAGTGTAAGCCTGGCTACACAGCATACTATCATACAAACAATCGTCTCGCATGTGCTAAAAAGAGTAAAGACTGTCTGCTAAAAGGAATCTTTATTTTCCTGGCGGCAGAAATAATACCAATAACTTTGGTTTTTGGCATTATTATATTTACTGGATTTGACGTGACAAGTGGTTACACTCAAAGTTTTCTTCTCTATAGTCATATTCTCTGTTCACTGTCCATCACACGAGCAATTGAATTGTCGCGTCTTGAATATCAAGTTTATTGGAATTTCATCCGCATCTTTTACTTTCCTCTCATGCTCAAATTCTTTTATTTCAAAAAATTGTCATTTTGCATTTTCAATAATGCAAACAACATGGACATCATCTCATTGGGTTACTTCAAGGGACTATACTGTGTATTACTGATCATTATCATTGTTTTCTTTCTGAAGTGTTTCTCTCAAAAATGTCACTGTTGCAATAGGTTCCTGAGGTTCACAACAGCTAAAAACTCTGCACTGATTGGAATATCAGCTCTCTTTGTTCTGTTCTTTACATGTGCCATTGAGATTTCTCTCCTAATATTGCAGCCAGCTCCTTTGTATGGGGAAGGTTACAATATTCTTAGCCACCGTGCTGCTTTCTATGGAGAACTGAGCTACTTTGATTCAAAGCATTTAAGGTATGCAATACCAGCAATTGCCTTCCTAATAGTACTAGTAGTACCATCCTTCATGCTTTTACTCTATCCACTGGTCACTTCTGTTCTCTCATATTTTGATATTGATGCCAGTGAATCTTGGATTGGTTGCATTCTCACTAAAGGTTTCATGTATAAGCAAATGAAACCATTTTATGACCGTTTCTATGGCAGCTTTAGGGACAAGCACCGCTACTTTGCTGGAATGTACTTCGTTTACCGTTTGTTGATACAACTATCGTACTATATACCCAACTACACTGAATCCGCTTTCATAATGGAGACACTTTTGGTCATTTTCCTGGTGCTTCACTCCATCATACAGCCATACCAAAATAAGCATCAGAATACAATAGACACTCTCCTTCTCAGTAACTTGATCATCATTAACGGTATCACTTGCGGAGACATGATTATACTCTATGATAATGCTCACAATCATTTTTGGAAAGTGAATGTTGCATCAAATTGTCAGGCTATCCTAGCAGTTCTACCAATGATCATTGCATTGCTATATATAGCTTGGAAGTACGTATTTTCTCGCATTTGGCTGAAGCTAAAAAATGTTTGCAATATGCCTTGTCGTATGAATAGGGGTGAATACGAGATACTGAACGATGATCATTTGGAGCACGGGAGGCATAGGTCTGTATCTCTTCAAAATCACTCAAATTAAAAACTAATGCTGAACTTTATAATTTTAGTAGTTTAACTAATACATGTCATGTACACTTGGCATACACATACATTATATCAAAACTAATTTTATATACATAAATTACCTATAAATTAAATGGGCGGAGATTTTCACTGTCCCATTATGGAAGAGAGTCTCAAATTTATACTTCAATGTACATCACAAGAAGAAGGCAATGGAGCCCGAGATGGAGCCTCTTCTTCAACGAAGATACTGTCCTTTCCCTCCCTTCCAGCCACTGTGGCAGAAGTGAAGGCCCGGATAGAGAAGGAGTGTCAAATTCCTGAACCACTTCAGGCCATCTTGTTCGGGTCTGTGATCCTAGAGTCCAGCACTGAGCTGAAGTCACTCCGCCTCAGAAGTGGTGACACCCTAACAGTGAGATACCACTCCACAGCGCAGTGTAAGGAACTAGACGAAGGAATGGCATGGATACAATATTTGCTTGAAACTTTTCAGAGATTAGGAGTACCTCTGAGCTACAGCATGCAACAGCAAGACGACACTATATTCCAGGCACTGGAATCAATTAGAGAAGAAGACAACTTCATGACACGCCTTGCTTTTGATTATTCACTTCCATGGCTTGAGCCAAGAGTATCAGCAAACAAAGTTTACTTCATACAGAAAAAAGGACTTGAGAAGTTGCTTGAACTCCACACTTGCCTTGTTTCCTGTCAATGGCATGCATTACCCTTAGAGCTACAGCTGCTTCAAGGACAAATACTAATGGTAATCTGGAACCTTGCAGAAACTTTTCAACTGAGACGAGAAATTCTTAAGCGTGGTGGACTGGAGAAATGCATCCAGAGTCTTGTACAAGTTAGAATAGTACCTGAATTGCTGGAAGAGAATGACAAAGATGATATGGTAACAATTTGGGAGTGTATACGATCATCTGTTGGCGCATTGGCAAAGTAACAGATCCTCTTTAAATGATTAGCTTTTATAATTATTATTCTGTCTATTATAGTTTATGTGAATTACCAGAGACTCACTTGACTTTAGCTACAAACAGAGAAGCCATTGAGCAGCTAATGAGCATAGCAACGACAAAAACATTTGACCTTAAGAGCATCCAAGCTGTCGCTGTCCTCCTCCTAGTGTTGAGCTATACATCAGAAACACATCCATACTTGATACAATCAAAAGTTGTGGAAAGCATGATGAATTTGAGTTACCTCAATGAAGATGAATTTTATTTCATTGGATATGTGGAAGAGATCCAGCCAATCCTAATGAAGTGAGTTGTAGGATATTTACAAAGTTTTGTACATGCAGCAAAAAACAGTGATGATTATAAAATTTAGAGTAGCCATTTTTTAGAATTTGGGTGTTTTCTTAAAATGGCCGTAACTCAAAAAATTGAAGTTGGAATCAGCTCAAACTTTCTACACAGCATAAGGGCATCAATATGTATCAGAAAGTGTAATAAAAATTTGGAGTGATTTCGGAGCCATTTTTCGGAAAAAACCATGGGCTATAGCCTTGGGTATTTTTCAGAATTTTGACCTTTTCTTTAAATGGCCGTAACTCAAAAAATTGAAGTCGGAATCAGCTCAAACTTTCTACACAGCAGTAGGACATCAATATGTATCAGAAAATGTAATAAAAATTTGGGGTGATTTTGGAGCCATTTTTCGGAAAAAACCTATAGCCTTGGGTATTTTTCAGAATTTTGACCTTTTCTTTAAATGGCCGTAACTTGAAAAATTGAAGTCGGAATCAACTCAAACTTTCTACATAGCATAAGGGCATCAATATGTATCAGAAAATGTAATAAAAATAGGGGGTGATTTCGGAGCCATTTTTTGGAAAAAACCATGGGCTATAGCCTTGGGTATTGTTCAGAATTTTGGTGTTTTCTTAAAATGGCTGTAACTTGAAAAATTGAAGTCAGAATCAAGTCAAGCTTTCTACATAGCATAAGTACATCAATTTGCATCAAAAAATCTAATAAAAATTTTTAATGTTTTTGGAGCCATTATTTTATCAAGGAGAAATTTTTCCATTTTAATAATTTTTCTAATGTATATACATGTACTTATTATGTGTAGAAACTAGAAACTTTAAGATCAAAATTGGACTTTTTTTACAAATTTTAAAAATTGTTCCAAAGTCCAAACTCTATTCAGTGCTTGTCAGCTCATGAAGCAAGCATGCTGCTTAGCTCACTTAGCATGCTTTGTGGGAAACCTTACTTACACTGCTGCTGTATAGACATTGAAACTTCTCTCCTTTCTTTAGTTATCACAGAGCAACATTCTTTGCTCACCTTTTCTTGATTTCCACTGACCTCCTATCCACAGAACAAATCCTCTTAATTAACGATTGCATATCACAATTCCTTGCAATGGCTACAACAGAAGAACTCATAGATGCTGAACTGAAAGAACACTACATCTGGGAGACATTCATACCATACGTAAGACTCTTCTACCAGCCTCCAATACCTAGTACCAGTCCCATCCTATCAATGCCAGACTTTGATGTACTGCAAAGAGACTGTCTCTATGTTAACTTGATGGCATTACATAACATGCTAAGCCGTGAGAATCACAGGACAATCTTGAAACGTCAAGAGCTACTGGACTACATCACTTGCCTTCCGTGGCATCTTTCTGGAGATTTAGTAGAAAGTGGACGCGAGTTGGTAAGATTATTTCAGTTTGATTCTCAAATAAATTTACAACCACCATCACTGAGTAATATGGCTAAAGCCATTGTTGCTAAGAACTATTGTGGGCTGGAACGTGTGCTTAAGGAACCTGTGATTGAACTGTATCAAAACATTCAAAGATAGCTGTACTCATTATACAAAAAATAATTCAATTTTAGAAAAAATTTTTTGTATTATGTATATACATACTGACATGATACTGTATGTAGTGTAGTTATTCAAACAATTTATGATTGATATCCAATTCACTTTAACGTAGGCTGAAAAATATCAGAATTTTCTATGAGTCCTTGAATGTATTGATCTAACACCTGTTACAAGAAGAGTATTTGAATTATATTTGTGTACTACATGTTAAATAATGAATATATATATACAGTATTTTACCTGATTGTCTGCTTGTAGCTGTTCATTCTCCTCCTTCACTGAGTGTACTCGCTGGGACAAGTCGTGCAGCGTGTTCTGAAGCTCCAATATTTCGGACATTAGCTTTTCCTTTTCTTCTGAACAGTTTTCTGCGAGGGTTTCTCGCTCTAGACTATCTGAGTCTAATCGCTGGGACAAGTCGTGCAGCGTGTTCTGAATATCCAATATTTCGGACATTAGCTTTTCCTTTTCTTCTAAACAGTTTTCTGGCTCTTGACTATCTTCTTTTCCTTTTTCTGCTACTACTTCCTCGACAACTTCTGCTGTTTGTTCATCCGCCATTTTAAAGAAAGCGTGATGGTATATGGGTGTGGTCAGAATGCATGAAAGCAATTTTAATGTCAATGGTGGTCTGCTACTACTTTTGACATCTCAAACCGTAATTTAAAATTATTCTATAACATTAATAATAACAAAAATTAATAATAGGAGTTGTAGTACAATTAATGGAATAATAATAATAATTAATAATAATAATAATAATGATAAATCAAAAAGAGAAAGACATCCTAGAGACAAAGAGAGAAAAAAATTTAAGAAACGCAGATAGAGAAACAATAAAGCAGTCAGAACCTCATACACATAATAATGATAATAATAATAATTAATAGTATGTCCACATGAAGTTACAATAAAGTACAACCCTTCTTCTTTTTCACTGTTTTCTCGGGTTGCTTCGAGTTTATTTGACGAACGAGATCATAAAATATCTATAAAGAAAGAGAAAGAATAAACAAATCGAAAGTGTGTATTACATTATTGATTCTTCGCAAGTATAAAAACAAAAATTTGTTACATGGTAAACACAAAATGTATCATAAAAGCTGCCACTCTTACTTCTGATACGTTGATTTTAGCTTTGGCCGATGATTCCATGAATGTAATGTTGTTCCATTGTCGTGCCAAGTTGAGACCTTGGTCCTTCCCTACGACTCTCTCATCTTCTAAATCACACTTGTTACCAACTAGAACCATTGGGACCTGAGAGAGAGAGAGAGAGAGTAATATGAAATATGGGAAGTTTTATAAAGTTCTTACGTCATCGGCATCTTTCACTCTGAGGATCTGATCTCTGAGGTCACCAAGATCATTGAATGTTGACTGAGACGTAATGGAGAAGACAAGAACAAAGCCTTGACCATTCTTCATGTACAGGTCACGCATTGCAGTGAATTGTTCCTGAGAGAGAGGGGGGGGGGAGAAAGAGAGAGAGAGAGAGAGAGAGAGAGAGAAGTGTCAAATAAAGGATAAACAAGACTAATTAAAGAGGAAGGAAGCATCATTGATCATAATTTAATGTCAAATTCCTGACAGGGCTCCATCATGTTAACCAAATAAGGCCACTGATTCACAACCACAATCATTCACAGAATGTACAATTATACACATAACACTGTCACAGAGCATGCAGTACATGATGTTGGTATGATGTCCAATTGTTGGTGATTATGTTTACTTACAGTTCCTGCAGTGTCTAGGATTTCCAGCATACACTGAGCACCGTCAACTTCAACTTGCTAAGAAACAAACAGAAAAAGATAGGGTAAGAGTCAATGTAATTTAAATAAGTACATGTACATGTATGATGATGGCATTCTCCCTCTTTTTACCTTTCTGTACGAGTCTTCAATTGTAGGATCATATTTCTCTACAAAGATACCTTGTACAAATTGCACAGTCTATATAAATGAGAGAGAGGGAGAGAGAGAGAGTAAGTGTGTGTGTGAGAGAGAGAGAGAGAGAGTGAGAGAGAGTAAGTGAGAGAGATGAGGAAAGGAGGAAGGATGAATGATGTAAGTATAACACATGAAGACATAAATCTCTCACCAAAGCACTTTTGCCTACACCACCAGATCCTAAGACAACCAACTTGTACTCACGCATTGTAGTATCTGTTGTGGAAGAGAGGAGAGAGAGAGGGGGAAAGAGGAAGAGAGGAGAAAAAGAGAGGTAAGTTCCATATCAAAACAAATAATCATTATAAGCAAATTCCTTGTCTTCATTATTCCAAGGAAAAATTGAGTTAGGTCTACATCAAAATGAGATCAACATACTAGGAATCCTTTACAAATACACAAACACACACACACATACACACACAAACATACAAATTGACACTAAAAATAACAATATTAATCCAAATGACCAAACATGATGTGTCTAGAAGTGCTGTACATCTCATTATCCTAATGCCATTTACTGGGCAGTGGGCACATGCAACAATAACAAGAGGAACTCTCCCCTGACTCTCTCACACCCAACAACAATTAGACAGAGTCAAAACACGTGTAGACACCCATGATTCACATCATAATGGGAGAGTACACTCCACGAACATAATGTAACTAATAGAGCCACACCCAATGCTCAAGACATAATGCACTCAATTTCACAAATACTGACATGAATACAAGGAGGATAATGGCCTAAGGACATCATAAATAGAGTTTAATGCTACATACACACTCGTAAGTTACATTTTCTCCCAAAACCACATTATTAGCAAGGGCCCATGACCTATCTGGCGTATATTTACGAGAAACAGACTACAAAAATCCTCACCGAGAAAATACAGGTACTATGAAGAAATCTGAAGAGATATGAAGGGCTGAGGCTAGATAACAGACACAGAGACTGTATCAAAATCAGTTATTCCAATTCCACAATCCACAAAAAGGGAGTCTGCGAAGAGCTTTTAGCTGCCAATATTTTAAATAGGCGTGGCTTCTATTTGATTGGCTGCTAAAAATAGAAATCACGAGGATTGATCTATTTTTAGAACACGAGTTAAAAATAGAATCATTGATGCATCATGCGTGTTAATTAATTCATACGTTTTGTTTATTTCTATTAGCTTGCAAAAAATAAAGTAATATTTGCATTATTGAATTCTTTAGATCTATACAGCATAAAAATTTTGCCATCATAAAATTGAGCAAAATCTTTTCTTTTCAGTTTGAGACCATGTTCCCAGTCTTAATACATGCTGCTGATCACCATTGATTTGTCTAACAAGATTTTCAAAAATCTAAAAATGAGAAAAATCAATTAAATTTTATGCATGCTGTATTCTGACATTTGAAACATTATGCATAGTTTTTGCTGATGATTCCATAAATGGGATATTCCATTCCTTGGCCAGACTCTGCCCCTCTTCTTTACTGATGCATCTCTCATTTTCCAAATCACATTTATTACCAACAAGAAGCATTGGAATCTACAGAAACAAATATCATTGCCAAGATAATTTTTTCTGATGATACTGACATTATCAGTGTCCTTTATTTTTATAACGTGATCCCTATGCTCTTTCAGATCATTAAATGTCAGTCTCGAAGTGACGGAGTAGACTAATACAAAACCTTTCCCATTCTTAATGTATATATCTCTCATAGCTTCAAACTGCATCTAAAGTACAAAAACTTAATGCAAATTCATGAATCACTTACAGTACCAGCAGTGTCGAGTATTTCAACCATACAATGCTGTCCATCAACTTGAACTTGCTGCAATCATGTTATATAATAATAATCATTTATTAAGATTTAACTAGTTGTAAACCTTGCGATAAGAATCTTCAATTGTTGGATCATACTTTTCAACAAAAATCCCTTGAACATACTGAACAGTCTGCATCAATGAATGAAAAAAAGTTGTTGCTTGTTCACAGCCATGTATTTGAGGTTTATAATGCATCATGTGTTAGCATATGAATGATGAAAATAACTCACCAATGCACTTTTACCGACACCACCAGGCCCTAAAATCACTATCTTATATTCATGCATGATGATGCTTCAATAATCTAGAAAATAATGATTTTTTTAGAAATTAAAATGTATGTATTTGTACTCTTGAACCATTGAAACCAGAAATAAGAAGCAAATTTTAAAAATTAAGTATAGAATACTGACAATAAATAAGCATTATTAAATGGCTGTAATAATGATTTTAATGTAGAGATACCTTTTACTTAGTGAGCATAGATACAGCGCCGATGCTTCCACTTTTTGCGCGCAACCTCCGTATACTCATAGGGATACTATTGTATGTGCATTATTTAGAACAATAACAAAAAAAGATGGCCTCGTCTTCAGAAGAGGACAATGCAACTGTATCCGGTTTAACAGATTTCTCTCGATTTTGTCCAGCGGATAAAATAATGGAAAAACAAGCTGGAAAAGACTTAGAAGAGGAAGAGATCAAACCAGTTAGATATAGGCCGAAAGGAACGACCTGGTTCTCAAGAATAGGTAAATCAAGTAGTCTCACTTCAGTGGACACCACCAACCTGGTGGACGAAGGAGGAAAAGGAGAGAAAAAATTAAGAAAATATCAGAAATTTCAAAACAAGTCAAGGAATAGTCTCCCAGAAGAGACGATCCTCCCAGCACTCCTGCAGGAGGACAAGGCTGACCGCCACAATGCTAGTCCGATTGATGTCCCAATGTCTCACCTCCAGTCCCTCCAGAAGGAGCTTGAAGCTCTCAAAGGCTGCGTCTCTAAGCAGCGAGCAATATTCTCTCCGTCTCACTCGCCTGACCTCTGCGGCCTTGAAGAGGAAGCATATCCTAAACCACACCCACCACCTCTGGTAGTCGACGAACCTTTCAATATATTCTCAGAGTCTTCGTCTGATAATGTAATATTCCCACTGGAGGAGTACTGCGTTCAAGTCGAGCCGTTTTATCCGACTTCGGAAGAGCCCTTGCAAAATGGAAGAGATCCCATGAGTTTTGCCGAGAATAGATTAGAGAGACAAGGATCTTTAGAATATGACCATCTTGAAAACCAAGAGGAAGAGGGAGAGAGGGTGGAGCCTCAAGAAAATGGTGTGTCACCTCCAAAGAGTGATTCGGGTAGTTACTTTGTAGCTGTACAGTTTTCCGAGGAAGAGAATAAAGACGTCAAGACAAGTACCCTAGCAACGAATGATGAAGTCGTACCTTCAAGGAAAAACTCTGTCATTTCGGTACACGATGTCATCAGTAAACAGCCCCAGCAGTCCCTCCCTCCTCCTTTCCTTACACTACAGCACGGCAAACCTTCTCCAATTAATGCCCGACCCTCAAGGATGTCCTCTAGTATACCAGGCCGACTCAATTCTCCTAGTCTCTCTAGAATAACCTCTCCTAGTCACACTAGTTATTTACCTAACCAGCAATGGTCCTCAACGTCCCAACTAGTCAGAACGGAGGCGTGTCACTGTCCCTCTTGTTGCTCCTGTGGCTCCTCCCTCCGTAGATTCACTGGGAAGGATGGGCGGGGCTCTAGCGGTCACACTCGTCAGGCAAGTTACGACTTCTTGTCAAGGGGAGGCCCTGCCTTTTATTCCTGTCCTCTAAAGAGATACAACAAGTCCCTCCAACTCGTTCATCAGCCGCAAGTTTCTCCTCTTGTTTTGGATCGTGCGATTCATCGGAGTGAAGAGAGTGGAGAGAGAAGAGACAATGAAGAGAGAAGGACTAGAGAGGAGTCATTAACTAACACTGTTAGTATTAATTCATTTACATCACACGATGGCGGTGCTAATAATCATGCTAGTAGTGATGTAGCGTCAGTGTTAGAGGGTGATTCTGATACACAGTCCTTATGGAGTGTCCCTAGTATACACTCTACTTGTTCTTTTAGTGGACCCCCTCACCTTCACTTACCCTCTGTTCCTCCTCCTTGCTGTGATAGATCTCACATTAGTTATAATAATGGAGTTGATGTCAACGTCTTTAAAGAAAGACTAGATGTAAGATTATTAAAGAAGCATTTACATGTACATGTACATATTTAAAATTTTATGCAACACTATCCTGTGTGTATGTTATGGAGATGTACTTGAGCCTATGATTGAAAGAAGTGTTCTGATAAGTAGAGTTCATTTTTACAGCTATTTATTGTACGATCTACATGTACATGTACATTTTCTCGTAATAACATTACTGAGTGTTTATGTACGAGTTTGTATTCATTGGCTCTTACTCTTAAAATATTATGGCAATTTAAATTATAAGATCAGTGAATATAATGAGTATTTTTGGCTTGTTAGTGTGTTTATACAGTACCTGTGTGGCTGGATGAGTAGATTTACATGTACATGTATATGCACATGTAGTTATAATTATTTAATAAAATAATTTTTTTATTTTTCAGTTGATATCTCAGTGGTTTAATGAGTTCAGTGATACACAAAGGAATAACTTATTACAAAAGATACTGGTAACATATTGTACATGTACCATTGTACATACCTAATACATGTACATGCATCTTTAATTCTCATATTCTTTTCACTTTCTCCCTCCCCCCCTCTCCCTTTCTCTCCAGGAACAGTGCAATTGTTCGCAAATGCACTTGCTTTCATTACAAATGGAGCCGATACTACATCAAGGATGTCCTCATAATTGCCAGGACCTCTTATCATGGCTACCTCCAAACATCTCTCTACATATTCTATCCTTCCTTGATCCAGGTATGTACAAAACACGTATAAAATACACATACATGTACATGCATGTAATTACAATGTCGTTTATTTTTCTTTATTTTATTTTTAATAGTTAGTTTGTGTAGGGTTAGTCAAGTCAGTAAAAGTTGGCACCTTTTGGCTAGTGACACGAAACTGTGGAAGGATCTGTGTCTGTAAGTAGTTGTTGTGGTCTGTATTTGGTGTCAATTAATGTTTGTATTCTAATAGGAGCCCAATCTGGCAGCCTGGTTCAGCCTGCTTGAGTAAACTGATTAATAATTTCACTAATAACTCAGATGGTGTAGTACAGGTAAGAAGATAGAGGAGGAGGAGGAGAGAGTGAGAGAGAGAATGAGGAAGAGGAGGCTTCATGGATTAAGGAAGGAAGGAATGAGAGTACATGTACATGTACACGTACATTTGTAATTTAATCAAATTTGTGTATGTACATGTACATGTACCTAATTACCTTTTCTCTAATGCTATATAGTGGAGGTCAATGTTCATAGAGATGTACAGACTAAGAAGGAACTGGTTGAAAGGTTTCTGTACCGTCAGAACGTTTGAGGGTCACTCACAAGGTAAGTGGGAGGGGTTTTGTGGGCATTAAATAGAAATGTGACTTGTAGGCATATCCTGTGTACAATTTGATGACACTAGGATCGTGAGTGGCTCGTGGGACAAAACTATTAAAGTGAGCTTTTACTTCTCCTTTTTGATGTTTCTTTTTCTTTTTTCTACTTTTCTCTGTTCTTAATGCATGTACAAATGTACACGCTTTGTGTCTTCCCTCCCTCTTTCTCTCCTTTTTTGTGTCTCTTTCTTTCCTCTCTCTTCCTCTCTCTCTCTCTCTCTCTTCCTTTTCCTCTCACTCCTCATTCTTTCTAAAGGTTTGGAACAGGCGGACTAACACTGCCTGGGCTGCACTAACATTGGCAGGTCACTCTGGAACTGTTAGGTGTCTCCATCTTCACGGGAACCGTCTGGTCAGTGGCTCCTCAGACAGAACTATTAAGGTATCAAATAATAAACAGCTGGAAATAATTAATAATGTACATGTACTGTACTTATCTGATTCCAATTTTGTATGAAATTTTAAATTTGCCGCCAATTGACCAATTTATTACTCATTATAGCCAAAGAGAGTACTTTTAACATCTATGTCAACTTCTGAAATACATCATTTTAAAAACTAATAATTACACATTTTTGATTAAGTCTGTTATTATTTGTGAAGGTGTGGGACTTGGCTACTAACAATGTCGGATGGATCGGTGCTGCCTGTAGAGCTACGATGGTCGGCCATTTACACACTGTCAGATGCTTACAGGTAAAGTAAATACTATTGTGTATATGTACAGCTATGCCATGCATGAATCAACAGAGAATAGAGACACTAAAAGCTAAAATGCACATTTACATGTACTTCGTGTACATGTACACATATGTACAAGTTTTACTTGCTTCTTTAACTCTCTTCCCCCCCTCTCTCTCTCTACTTCTCTTCCTCCAGGCTGATGATGATAAAGTTGTCAGTGGTTCTTATGATCACACTCTCAAAGTCTGGGACCTTAAGACAGGACAATGTAACATGACTCTTAGGTACAACACCATTCATTGTACACTGTACACACTTCACTGTATAATATTGTTGATTGTTCTAATCCATACAGAACAATCAACTATACATAGTCTATTATCTACCATGTACATGCATTTTTTCAATGCACATGTACAGTACATGCACATGTACATGTATATTTATGAGATACTACATGTATGTATTAAATGAGGATATACTACATGTATGTATTGAATGAGGATATACATTTATTCAATGATTTTCAATCATGATACATGTACATGAGTGGGCCAGCTATAATGCTTTTACTTGTTTTTGTTGATGTTAGGGGACACACTGACGCTGTGCTCTGTCTGCAGTTTGATAAAACGAAAGTTATTTCTGGCTCCAAAGATACCACAATCAAAGTAATGATAATAATGACAGGAAGTCATTAATACATGTACTTGTAAATACTTCTCCCTCTCTTTTTGTTATATTTTTAATACTGATATTTCTTTCCTTTTTAGTTGTGGAGGTTATACGATGGCCAGTGTCGGCTTTCCTTATACGGTCATGAGGGGGCGGTGACGTGTCTCCAGTTTGATGACAGTCGTATTGTTAGCGGTGCCTTGGACCGACTCATCAAGATATGGGATTTCACTGGACATGTAAGAGGATTGGGATACATTAATATCAACATGTACATGTACTCTCTTGCATGAGATTTAAGCCAATTTGTATCATACATGTAGTACTAAAATAGTATTTTTACTATTTAATGTAATAGCATAAAATTCATTGCTTTATGATTGATTATACATATATGTGTGTACATTTTAGTGTCTCCACACAATGGATTGGATAAAATCTGAAGGACACACTGGAGTAGTTAGGTAACAGAGAGAGGGAGGGGGGAGGAAATGGAGGGTATTTTTATGTACATGTCTCATATTTTTAAAGACACTTGCAAGCTGACAGCTGGAAGATTATCAGTGCAGCTGATGATAAGACTCTTAAAGTAACTGGAGAATCATGTGACTTACGTGTGATATTTGACTCCTCCCGTTAGGTTTGGAGCGTCCAATCAGGCGAGAGATTATTAACACTAAAATCTCACACCGATGGTGTCACTTGTCTTCAATTTAATGATCAAGTAAGTTAAGAATGTTTTTTATTTTTGATGTAATAGTATCATTTTAGCTACATGTATATACCCTTGGCAATAGTGAACTTGCAGTGTGACATGTATTTTTTCTTTCTTTTTTAAGGTGATTGTGTCTGGTTCTTATGACAAAAGTGTGAAGCTTTGGGACTTCTCTGTCTGCTAGAACTTATTATTGCCATTGTGAATAATTATTTATTTTTAAATTCAATATCATCATCATTTTTTATTATCATAGACTCAATTTTTTTATTCAAAACAATTATTTCTAAATTCATTAAATAACATGATGATTGGGGTGCCGCCGCGCCCACATCTCAGCGCAAATAAGTTTATCTCTGCGTAACTATGGCTGTGATGAAGATGAATTGCTTTCTGCTGTTTGTAGCTATTCTCTTGTGCATTGAAGTTGCGAATGGTTAGCTCTAGCATATTGATACATTTCAGTTTTATACTTATGTAAGTCAAGCGAATGGAGTTGTCCGTCTTAATTTGAATGGAAGTGTAGATCCATCCAACACAGAAGGAGTTATTGAAGTGTATTACAATAACAGATGGGGTTCTATTTGCTACTTGGATGTATTTTCAATGTTTTATATGTATGTACCTGATGTAGTGTGCCACCAATTAGGATATACTGGTGGAAACATTGGCAGCAAGTAAGATAGAGCATTAATAATTTCCAGAGTTCACTTGGACACTGTCTGTGATAATTTTTCAAATTATTATAGTTCAGGTGTTGTCAATACCAGTCCAGTTTTTGGTTTGGTAGAGTGTTCAGACTCATATCTTACTTTAACGCAATGCTCTTGCAACACTGATTTTTCTCCAAACTGCACTTTTGCTGATAATCTTGACATCACTTGCTGTAAGTAGAGCTAACTGTAACTCATTAATTAGGCTGCGTTTACACTACTCCACTCCACTGAATCCAAATAGTTTTTGCTATCACTGGTTTTAGGTGTTTACACTAATCCACCAGCTGCGTTTTCATTTGAACTTATCATTCCTTTACAGAAGTATCCGCTTAGGTATTCATTTTCAAATGTCTCCGGATAAGTATGCCTTTTATAGTGTAAACAAAAGCTGTATCTGTTACAAAAAGTCTCTGTTTTCCAATGAAACCAGAGTAGTGTAAACGCAGCCTAATGCCTGAGCAGTTACAGTTTACATAATTATGCACAATAGCAGAATACTCACTCCTATTCAGTCATATTGAAAGTGTGTTATCCACCCCTATAGCTTGACATACTGTATAGCTAGAAATTTCTGTAGCCCAAATATTTGTAAATTGTCATCAAAATGGCTTTTGCGGATTTTATTTTTGTGAATTCACCAGGCCTTTTAATTTAAATAGGCCAATAAATTGTGTACCAAAATTTTGAGGATTAAATTTCTGCAATTTTTTCAAATCCGCAAAATTAGCAGAAATTTTGGGCCACAGAAATTTCTAGCTATACGGTACTTACTGGGATGCCTACTGGTTCAGCCAAAGCAACATGCTACAACAATTGTATGCTAACCACAAAATACATACAACAGCCACAACTATTTGGAGTAAACACAGCATTAAAAGTCACATGCATGACTGATAAAGGAGTTTACCCAATAATTTGGCTATTATGATTGCAATTTGTTTTAGATGCTACAAGAATATGGGATAATCCATACCCTGGAATGGTGAGACTTCAAGGTGGGAATTACACTGGTCAAGGAATAGTACAAGTATACTGTAACAATGAATGGGCTGCAGTCTGTAATGATGGCGGTCTTATTGAGGATGAAACTGGATGGACTATATGCACTCAACTTGGTTATAATGTTTATGATGTTGGTACAACGAGCTAGTATGTTGATAATAGCTTTATAATAGTTTCATTATTATTGTAATACTGGTACCTAGTACTGGCAAAGCATGGTTGGATAATGTGGATTGCAGCTCTGATGATTCTGACGAAGACCCACCAAGTTGCTTGTCTAAATGTTCTGGAGGTAAATGTCCTTCCAGTACTTTCTCATGCAGTACCGCTCTCACTGTAACTTGTTGTAAGTCCATTATTACACTCATTATGTACTTTTATCCCTTTCATTAGCTTATGATATTAGATTTGATTCAGGTGGTATCAAAGATGCTTGTAAATGTAAGATTGAAAATAAACTGAAGTAGCTATTTTTGTTTTTTCTAGTTGCTCATGGTTTAAGTGTTGGTGCTATTGCTGGCATTTTGTCTGGTTGCCTGGTTGGATTTATAATTTTAATTATACTTGCAACATTGTGTATTTGCTGCTGTAAAGATGCAGCTCTCCAGCCCCTGTAGAAGGAAGGCCCACAGAGAGAGATAATATCCTGAATAGAAGAAATACTGCTACTAATTACTCAAAAGTTTAATAGTAACATTGCTGAGTTTGCTGCTGTCCATTTGTTAAAATGCATGTCTTTCTCCCCTTGTTTGCTGACTAGTAACTAGTAACTGCATGTACCTAATATGTATTTTTGTTAAAACTCTATTTTTTGATATTATTCCTTGAGTTGCTTGCATTATTATTGCCTTTTTCAGTTTTCTTAGAATTATTTGTAAGAATGTAGTATGTAAATACATTACTTGTTGTGAGTGGTCATGCAAGAGTATTAACACTGAAATATCATGCTGATTAAATCACATCTTTTTCACTTCAAGACTACATTTCAATCATTGCTTAATTTTTAAGTATTAATTTGTACACTTCCATATTCTACTCTTTCCCTCTCTATGTCTTTGTCAATCAAATGATAGAACTGATGAAGATTGATCAAAATGTAAGTTTTACACTAAATACTGTAGCACCTTTCAAAGGATTGCATGAAAATTATGCTCATTAACTTTAAAGCATGAAGCACATGTATCAGGGGTATGAAAATTGTGATGAATTTTTTTAGAAATGGTGCCCATAACTCAAAAAATTTTAGTAAGAATTAGCTCAAATTTTCTACACAGCATAAGGACATCAATATGTATCAAAAAATCTAATAAAAATTTGGAGTGATTTTGGAGCCAATTTTTCAGAATTTGACATTTTCTTAAAATGGCCATAACTTGAAAAATTGAAGTCGGAATCAGCTCAAACTTTCTACACAGCATGAGGACATCAATATGTATCAGAAAATGTAATAAAAATTGGGGGTGATTTCGGAGCCATTTTTTGGAAAATACCATGGGCTAAAGTAACTGCAGAATCATGTGACTTACGTGTGATATTTGACTCCTCCCATTAGGTTTGGAGCGTCCAATCAGGCGAGAGATTATTAACACTAAAATCTCACACTGACGGTGTCACTTGTTTTCAGTTTAATGATCAGGTAAAGTTAATAGCATAATTTTAGCATCTGTTATATATCCTAGACTTGCAATGCTACATGTAATGTACTTTATTCTTTCTTTCTTTCTTAAGGTGATTGTGTCTGGTTCTTATGACAAAAGTGTGAAACTTTGGGACTTTTCTGTCTGCTAGAACTTTTTATTGCCATTATGTATTTAATATCATCACCATTCATTATCATAGACTCAATTTTTTATTCAAAACAATTAAAAAAAATTCATTATGAGTAGGGGGTGCCGCCGCACCCACATGTCGGCGAAAATATTAAAATTAATCTCTCCGTATCTATGGCTATGAAGAAGATGAGGTGCTTTCTGCTGTTTGTAGCTCTTCTCTTGAGCATTGAAGTTGTTAATGGTTAGCTCTAGCATATTGATACATTCCAGATTCATACTTATGCAGGTCAAGCGAATGGAGTTGTCCGTCTTAATTTGAATGGAAGTGTAGATCCATCCAACACAGAAGGAGTTATTGAAGTGTACTACAATAACAAATGGGGTTCTATTTGTTATTTAAAAGATTTTATATTGTCATTTACGTATGAGTATGTACCTGATGTAGTGTGCCATCAATTGGGATATACTGGTGGAAACATTGGCAGCAAGTAAGGCTGAGCACTAATAATGTACACACTGTCTGTATTTCCAATCTATATTGTAGTTCAGAGGTTGTCAATACCAGTCCAGTTTTTAGTTTGGTAGCTTGTCAAGACTCATATCTTACTATAATGCAATGTGCTTGCCACACTGGAATTCCTTCAAACTGCACTTATGATATGAATCTTGATATCACTTGCTGTAAGTATAACTAACTGTTACTCCATCAATGCCTGAGAACTTACAGTTTACACATGCACAGTAGCAGAATACTCACTCCCTATTCAGCTATATTAAAAGTATACTATCCACCCCTATATAGCCTTGACACATGATGCCTACAAGTTTATTTAAAAGTCACATGCATGATTAATAAAGTTTTACCCAATAATTTAGCTATTGTGATTAGAATGTGCTGTTTTAGATACTACAAGAATATGGGATAATCCATACCCTGGAATGGTGAGACTTCAAGGTGGGGATTACACTGGTCAAGGAATAGTACAAGTATATTGCAACAATGAATGGGCTGCAGTCTGTAATGATGGTGATATTGAGGTGGAAACTGGATGGACTGTATGCACTCAACTTGGTTATAATTTTTTTAGTGTTGATGTAACGAACTAGTAAGTTGATAATAGCTTTATAATAGTTTTATTAGTTACCATCATAATACCTAGTACTGGCAAAGCATGGTTGAATAATGTGGATTGCAGCATCGATGATGGTGTGCCAGGTTGTTTGTCTAAATGTTCTGGAGGTAAATGTCCTTCCAGTACTTTCTCATGCAGTACTGCTCTCAATGTAACTTGTGGTAAGTTCATTATTATAAAAACACTCCTTTATGTATTTTTATTCATTTTATTAGCACATGGTATTACATTTTATCCAGGTGGTATCAAAGATGCCTGTAAATGTAAGATTGAAAATAAAATTGAAGTTGCTAGTTTTGTTTTTTTAGTTGCTCATGGTTTAAGTGGTGGTGCTATTGCTGGCATTGCAGTGTCTGGTTGTCTGGTTGGATTTATAATTGGATTTATAATATTGTGTATTTGCTGCTGTAAACGACGCAGCTCCTCAGCTCCTGTTCAAGGAAGGTCTACAGAGAGAGATAATATCTTGAATAGAAGAAATACTGCTATTAATTACTCAAAAGTTTAATAGTAAAATTGCTGAAATTGCTGCTTGTAATGTATTGTTATTATTATTATTATCATCATTTATTATCATCATTTATTATCATTGTATTGTTATTGTAATGTGGTGCATGTTATTGTAAAACATCACATTGGCGACGAGGGTGGGATGGCACTCACATTTGGCCAGATCACAGAATTCCAGGAGAGACTGGTTTAGAACATCTTCAGAACTTAGAGGAGATGCTTAGGAGACTGAAAGA